CTTCCTTCCTTTCTTCCTTCCTTCCTTCCTTCCTGGCTGTGACATTCTGTATACTGAGATCCCTCCCAGCTCTGAAAGTCTGTCTTCTGAAGTCTCTTCCAGATCGGGTATTCTGTGTTTCAGTGTCCTTCTCACATCTGATATTCTGTGTTCTAAGATCCCTTTCAGCTCTAGCATTCTCACAGTTCTGTCATTCTGTGTTCTAAGGTCCCTTCCAGGTCTGGCAGTCTTAATTTCATCCCTTGTGACCTTGTGCTTTTGGGTGGGTTAAGGTCTTGATGGAAAGAGGTCCGTTGAGTCCTCCTGCCTCTCCCCACCTAGAAGCTCCTAAAAGAGACGAAAAGGAGCCCCCAGATATATTCCCTAAGCCCTGGATAGTAGGACTCAAGGGCTCCTTTGGAATACAAGGCAGGAGATTTGGGGGCAGTCCCGGGTCATCTTCTTCCCTAAAGGGAACGCCCTAAGAGGGGTAGGGCTTGCTCCACATAGAAGAGGTCCAGAATAGGATGAGAACCAAGATCTAGAGGATTTTGGGAAATCCCTGAAAGATTTCTCAGGATATTTACAATATCTGTAAATAGAATCCTAATATAATTGTAGCTAGCATTTTTTTTTTTTAGCATTTTATAGTTTACAAAGTGCTTTGCATGTTTTACCACATTTGAGCCTCACAACCCTGTGATGTAGGGGTTGTTGCAGATGAGGAAACTGAGGCTGAGAGAGGTTAAATTATCCTAGTTTAAGGATCTCGGGGAGCTAAGACACCTCTTTCTAACCAGAAAAATCAGTCCTGGATCTACTATTGTGTGAAGGTTGATTTTCATTCCTCAGCTTTGCTTAAAATGGGATGTGGCTGTGGGGGGGCCCTTGAGGCGATCTTGAGTGATACAGATATGGGATTTAGAGTTAAGAGGACCTAGGTTTGAATCCTTGTTCTGCTACATATTGCCTGTGTAGCCTTGACCAAGTTGTGTAAATCTCTCTGGGCTTCAGTTTCCTCATCTGTAAAATGAGGGGTTAAAGGTTCTTCATCTTTTTTGCCCATGGACCCAAGGTTAAGGAACCTTGGGCTAAATGCTCTTTGTCCCATGTAGCTTTAAGTCCTATAGTTCTACATTCTATCCTGTACTTGTTCCAAAAGAGAAGAGAGAGGAGTGTGAGATCACCCTGGGAGGGGATAGAGTAGGCTAATTGAAGGGAGGAATTATAGGAATAGTTCTAGACCTTGGAGTACTATATGTTCAGTAGGTGGTTGGGAGACAGCTGTGTCCTGAGTCTAATACCCTGTCTCTGTACCTCTCTTCCCCCAATCCAGGAGAATGCACTGGCTGCTGTCACCCCAGCATCTGTGGAGGGACTTCTGGGGGTGCTTCGCAGCTGGGGCAGTCCCTCCCAGGACCCTCAACTCCTGCGGCTGGCCCTTCAGGGGCTAGTGGGAGCTGTGCACCTCCTCCATTCCAGTGGTGCCTCTCAGCGGGGCCCAGAACTCCGAACCCTTCTGGAAGGCTATTTTCGAGTCCTCAACACAGATCGACCCCCAACCACAACTCAGGACAATAGTCCCACCCCCAGCCCTGCTGGTGGAGAAGAAGACCTTATCACGCTCCGGGTCAGCATGCTTGGTATGAAAAATCTAGAACCTTTTCCTAGGGGAAGGGATATGGGGAGGGAAATGCCTGGCACTCATTTACCTAAAGGCTAGGTTCCCTGAATGGCACAGTATCACCATCTTAAGGCAAGGGGAGAAACCAGATCTGCCCTAAGTCCAGCAAGCCACAGTCCCCTGGACTGTTTCTCCTTCATCCAACTTGGGCCTTAGACACTAAAACCCAGAGAGGTTGCGCTACATGTCTAAGGCAACACTGTGAGTTAGTGGTCGAGCTGGGTCTTGGACCTAGATCTCCTGATTCCCTGACCAACATTATTTCTACTCCCTTGACTCTTTTGGACCCCAAAGTCTTCATAGACTCTCAGAGTTGGGAGGGACTGCAGAGGGCATCTAGTTCAGCTCATACCTGAGCAGAAATCTTCTTTACAATATCTCTGAGAAGCAGTCATCCCACTTTTATTGGAAGACCTCCAGGGAATAAGGACCCTCCACTTCCTAGAGCAACCCATTCCACTTTTGGACAGTTCTGAATGTTAGCAAGATTTTCTTTATATTGAGCCAAAATCTGCCTCCCTGCAACTGATGTCCAGCCATATCTTCCCCTTCCTGTTCTTATGGTTGTTTTTTTTAATTCAGGTGCAGGACTTGATATTTAACCCTTATACACATTTATCTTAATAGGTTCTAGCTTGTTGAAATCTTTTTGGATCCTGATTTAACATCTACCCCTCAGCTTTCACTGCCTCATTTAGAAGTTTTGGGGGTGACAGTGAGGCACTGGGTTTAATTTTTTGATCTTCTAGATGGGAAGGAGGCAGAGAAAAGGGAGAGTTGACTCTAAGCCAGTGAGAAAAAATAGTTTAGGTCAGGGATTGGCCACAATTTTAGAAAGAGTCATTTATGTCATTTATAAATTTTTGAAGAGTTGTGTTTTACATTTGAATACTTAACTGACTTCATCAGTGTGGGCTTTCCTCTAGCAACACAACACATCTCCAGACCTTATGCCAGACCTCTCCATGAATTGGGGCCAAAAAATTCATCTCCCTGGTCACCAGCCTTCTGGTGATGAGCATCTCCTCACTTTGCTAGGGTGGTCTCAGATGACAAGTACACAATTACTGACCCCACTATACACTACCCTATTAGGAAGGTTTTCCTTCAACTCTCAGTTTACCTCTTTGCAGCTTCTGGTTCTGCCCTCTGGACCTGAACAGAACAATGTAATCATCGGAACACATTCTAGCCCATCAAATGCTTGAGGACAGCTATCTTTTGTCCCCCAGATTTTCTCCAGGCTAAATATCTCAAGTCTGTATACAGACTTAAGGCTTTTCCTCATCTTGGGTTAGGTCGCTGGACTCTGTCCAGCTTATTTAGTGTGCTTCTTAAAACATAGTGACCAGAACTGAATGTAGATCTGGTCTGACTAGGGCAGATGACAGCAGAATTATTCACCTCTTTAGTTCTGATTACTATTCATGTCTTAACACAGCCCAAGGTTGCTGTGACTTCCTTATCTGCTGTGACACACTGTTGAATCATACTGAGCTTTCAGGCCACTGAACCCTCCTGATCTTTTTTCAGATAAACTGCCTTATGCTCATACCTCTACCATCTTATACTTGTGAAGTTGATTTTTTGAACCCTGGTGTAAGAGTTTGTTTTTCTTTATTTGAATTACGTCTTATTAGATTGAGCCTAATATTCTTGACTGTAAGTTTTTTTTTTTTAAATCCTGTCTTTGTTATTCTTTTTTCTCTTCTCTCTGCCCCTTTTAGATGCAATTCCAGAGATGCTGGACTGTGCTGACCGCCCTGTCCTCCAAGCTGTCTTCCTTAGCAACAACTGCTTTGAACACATCACACGCCTCATTCAGAACAGCAAGGTAGGGGTCTGACTTGGAGGGGTGAGGGTGGGCAGCTAGGGCTCGGCCCAGGGGGTAGAGATGCGTGCCTTCTGCTTGAGGCTTTCCCAAAGCTCCCACCCTTAGCCCCCACCTGCCTTAGCTTCCCCTGTGGTATCCGTGGAGGATCATGGCAGGTGATGGGAGCTCTCTTGCTAGAGGACTCTGGGAGTGGGCATCATTTGGGATGGTCAAATCCTTGGTCTGCCTCAAGGCAAGGGGCTGACCTTAGTGACTTCACTGGGCTTGGGGATTTTGGTGGGTTCAGCAACTGGGAATTCCCTGCCTGACTCCTTGCAGCCTGTTTCTCTTGGCAGTGCCCCTGTATGGGGAGCCAGCTGTGCCTTCTTCCTTCTCTTCTCGTCCCTTTTTTTCTATGCCATGTTTTTTCCTTCTTTTGCAGTTCTGTAGGTGGGAGCAGGGAAAGACAGATGGACTTACGTGACTGGTTCCTGACTAGCCCCTTGGGAGTCAGGGGTAGAACCACACACTTAGATGTATTACCTTTTCCCAGCTTCCCTCCAGCTTTCTCTCCTATCCTTCATCCTTTCTACTCTCCCCTGTGTCTTGAGTTTGAATTCCAGTTCTCCCAGTTACCTTCCATGTAACCTGCAGCCAGTCATTCTATCTCAGTTTTCTCATCTGCAAAATGAAAGGGTTGTACTATGATCTCAACCTGACAGACATTTATTAAGTGACTACTAGGGGTAATGCACTGTACTTGGTTGGTTCTAGAGATTCAGAGAGAAAAATGAAAACAGTCCCTACCCTCAAGGAACTTATGTTCTGATAGAGAGGCAGAGAATACAACACACACACACACACACACACACACACACAAACATACACACACACACACACACACACACAGACACACACACGCACACACCCCTGGGATTATTAGGATTTAGGTCACTTAGTGAGTTGGAGTATTATAAAGGTGAACATGCTCTTTCTGGATTCCAGGTTCTCCCCATCTGCCCCTTGTTAACATAACCCCGCTCTGAACCTTTGAGGGTTTTACCTGTCACCCCCTTTACATTGGTTCCTAGAATTTTGGGGCATATCCTCTCAACTCTGTGCTGCTGACTTCCCGGCCTTATCCTCTGCCGCCTGGGACCAGGACCCTTAGAGTGCACAGCATTAGAGGGGAGGGGTTAAGGCTGATGGCACCTTCCTCCCAGGGTAGTTGTGAGAACCAAATCAAATAACATTTGAAAAGTTCTTTGTGTTATTAAATGCTAGCTTCGCAGTGGAAATTATTCCATTTAGATTCTCACAATGTACCCTTGGGGTCATGGGGCAGAATCTCAGAGCCAGAACTGCATCAGAAATGTAGTGAAAAGCTGTCTTGGAAAGGCCTTCCCATTACAGTATAGCCTCATCTGGTATGGGAAAGCTGATCCCTTGACACATTGCAGTACCTGGCCCTGCCCCAGGGTACCAGATACCTGGAGAAAGGACACATGACTTCTCTACCCACTCCCCCACTTCCCTGCCCTTAGCCTCCTGGAGAGGAGATGCATCAGGTTCGTGGCTTCCTTTGAAACCCAGACAACATAGTGGTGACTTGCTCATGACCCACATGCTCACCTGGGTCTTGTTTTCATTCTGTGAACAGCTAACCACTGAATGGCATAAAGTTTGGCCTAATTAAATCTACCAGTGATGGTCCTTCTGCCTTAAATATACCTAGTCATGCTGCCCCCAAGTGCAGCTGCTGGGACCAGTGCTGCCCAGCTGCGTGTCTCCCCATGCATGGTTCATTGCTTCCAGGCTGAACCTCAGCTACTTTAAGCTACAGGAGAGGTGATAGTAGTAATAATGGCTGCGCTAACTGCTTAAAACCAATTCAACCGCAACAAACATTGATTTTTCAAATAATAGGCTGCTGTTCTTTTATTTTGACATCACTTTTATCTCTCATGTATTTCATTTCATATCTCATGTACCACCCCCCCCAAGAAAGCCATCCTCTATAACAGAGAATAAAAAAAAATGAACAAACAATTCAGAAAATTAACCAGGATGTCAAAGTAGTTAAACACCATGTGTAGTTCTCCCCACTCCTAGCCTTCCCTCTTTGTAGAGAAACAGGGTGAGGTGCCTTCTCATATCCCTTCTTTGGGGCCAAGCTTGGTCTCTATAATTCCACAGAATTCAGTTTCAATTTTTTTTTTTTGCCGCAAACATTAATTAAGCACATACTATGTACAAGGTACTAAGCTCAGCACCAGAGATATAAGATGAAATATAACAGTCCCTGTCCCTAAGGAGTTTATGTTTTTTTGGGAGGAACACAACACACATGAATAAATATAATGCATGATAGATTTCAAATGAGGCAAAGGAGAGATCCAGCTGACATATTCTAGGAAAATTTGATGAGGGAGAAAATGTGGACAGCTGGGTTTTCTGCTATAACCCATTTTCTGTCTCTCTTCTTTTTCTGCCTTACCTCCTTCTCTCCATCCCCTACCCTGCTTCTCCTCTTCCTTCTCTTTTCATATTGGCCTATTGCTCCTTCTGCTAGCTCTACCTGCGGGCTAGAAGCCCGGTGGCCCCAGAGGGGGGCAACGATCTCGCCACTCAGTTACTGACCGAACTCGATATTCAGAAGGTACCGCTTAATGTGCTGGTTTGGGCTTCCTGGGGTAGCTTTGGGACCACCCGGAGATGCCAGCACCATTCCCCCACCTCCAAATCCTGTGTTCCCTACCCCACGCTAGCCACCCAGAGAAGGCTACATGCTGGTCGCAGTTCTCTACCCACTTTGCCAGGAATACAGAATGAGGGCTGAGTTTGAATTCCTCACCAGTCTGTTCCCAGGGGCTGAGCAGGACACAAGTGGAAACAGATAGAAATGGCAAAGGAAAATGATGTGAAATAAAGGATAGAAATAGGTGAGAGCTAGATTGTAAAAGGCTTTAGATCCTAGGCTAAGGAGGCTGTGTTTTATACCAGATAATGCAGGAAGCCATTGAAGACCTGTTCTATAAGAAGGCTATTGTGGGGGTAGCTAGGTGGTGCAGTGGATAGAGCACCAGCCCTGGAGTCAGGAGGACCTGAGTTCAAATCCGATCTCAGACCAGACACTTGACACTTACTAGCTGTGTGACCCTGAGCAAGTCACTTAACCCCAATTCTCTTGCCAAAACAAAACAAAACAAAAAGAAGGCTACTGAGTGGAAGATGTGCATTCTAGATCAGTGGAATAAAATCCCTGCCTGTGTAAAGTCACAGATCCCTTGATGCAGAGGAGTTCTTTGTCCTCATTGTCATTGTAATCCTGCCGTTGTTTCTCAGCCTCACAGAGCACCTTTGGCACTGCCAGGATATTTTCTCCCATTGTCTGCTCAAGGTGCTCCAGCACCACAAACCCATCACACATATTTTCTGGATCCCTGGTAAATTGGGAGCCCCTCCAGCTTGGTAGGGCTTACCACGGCTTGGATTCCATTGGCGTAGCCCCCCATACCACTGTAAGACACTGGACGAGGACTTTAGTGGAGGAAAAAATGAGCATGTCGTTGAGAATAAGACCTGTTGAGAACACATGCAGAAGTATCCTATCATGCGTCCCCAAACCTGCAGACTTTTGATTAGCCCTTGCTTTGGATTATCTAATCCCTTCCGTTCAGGGGTAACATACGTATTAAGAGAACAAGTATAGTGTAGTGGAATGAAGACTGAACTCAGTGAGAGGGGACCTCTGTTCAAGTCCCACCTCCAACATTTTCTAGCTGGGTGACTTTATCACACAAGTCATTTTACCTTTGTGCTTCAGTTTTCCTATTTATCTATAAAACAGAGATAATACTTGTGCCAGCATCCTCACAGGGCTATAAAGTGTGAAGTGTTCTCTAAATGTGAGCTATTCTTGTTATTAGGGAGAAATGACAGAGCCTATATGTGCACCTTAAATTTTCACACACACACACACACACACACAATCCTACTGCTACCTTCCTTTGAGCACAGGTGAGGTCCTATGGCTACCAGACTGGGCGCCAAGTTCACTTGTCCCCACAGGGCCCTCCTGGGGATGAGGGTACTTCAGATTAGATTGTTAGCAAGAAAGGACAGGATGAAATGGCCCCAAGTTGAGGATGGTGGGTCAGCATTAAAACCCAAGGGAAGGCCCTCAATCTCTCCCAACACAAGATTTTCTCATGGCCCATGGGGTGGGGGATTACCAGTGCTGGCATCCCCAGTGTGGGTCTGGTGGTGGCTGGTGGTGTGTCCTGGCCATGCATGGTGGTGAATGAAGCTGGTTTTCCTTCCAGGTTCCCCTGATCCTCTCTCTGCCTGATCCTTTCCCTGTTAACCCTCCTTCATGCCCCCAAATCCAATTGTGTTCTAACCCCAACACCAAGTCATACATTCACAGGAACTGGCTCCTGGGGTCAGAAGCCTCTCAGGTTGGTGGATCATAGAGTTTCAGAGCTAGAAGGGACCTCCAAGGGCATCCAACCTAACCTCTGAGCAAGAATCACCTTTAAAGCATTCCCAATAAGTCTCCTTTGGTGAGAGGGAGCTCATTTCTTCATGAGGCCACCCATTTCCCTTTGTGACTACTTGAATTCTTAGCAACTTTCTCCTCATATTGAGCCAAAATTTGCCTTTCTGGAGGCAGTTAGGTGGCGCATTGAATAGAGCACGGGCCCTGCAGTAAGGAGGACTTGAGTTCAAATCCGGCTTCAGACACTTGACACTTACTAGCTGTGTGACCCTGGGCAAGTCACTTAACCCCATTGCCTAGCCAAAAACAAACAAACAAACAAAATCTGCCTTTCTGCAACTTCTCCCCTTTTACTTCTAGTATTTCACTCTGGGGCCAAATAGTACAAATCCGATCAATCTGCTTGACCCTACTGATGAGGCCACCTGACCCTTTGCTACTGCCTGTTCCTTCTCCTGGTATTCAGGAGAAAAATACCTTTGTCTGAGAGATAGGAATTTTTCACTGTGAGAGAAGACAGTGTTTGTGGGAGATGGGAGCTCATCGGCAGCCACAAACTGGATTCAAATCCAGCTTTGCCAATTATTAACAGTTTAATATTAGGCAAGTCACTTCCCCTATCTGGGCCTCAGTTTCCTCCCCTGTAAAGTGAGGGGTTTGGTTTTGAATTGTGTTTTTTTTTTTAAGGCCCCTTCATCTCCAGATTCCTGTGAGTGTGGGGAGTCTGGATCCCTATGGATTCTAAGATATCATTATCCTCAGAGAAGGGTTAACCAGAAGGAGGAAATAAGTGAACTCATTATTAAATGAGGTAGTAGCATTGGACTCTCAGTTGGACTCTTTTCCCATAGCAAGGCAACATCCAAGACATTTCTCAAGATTGGGTTGAGGGTCATGATAATGAGAGCTTCCCAATTCTTGCCAAATTCAGTATCTACATTTCTCTATCCTCCCCTACCTCCCCACTCCCCGTTTGCTTAGAATCGGTGGAGGGAACTTAGGAATCTATTCACATGCTTCCTTGATTGTAGATAAGATCAACACACATTGGGTGGGAGGGAGAGGGGTGTTGGGGAGGGTGTTGAAGGAGAAGACAGAAGTCCAGAGAAATGGGGACCAAACAGAAGTCTTGGGGGTAGAGAGAGGCAGAACCCTTACTGGAAACAAAGGCTCAAGGAATGAGTCTCTACTCTCCCATTCAGCCAACCAGCAAGTCCCAACCTCCCCATGTTCCCCTGGTACTTCATTGCCTGCGTGTTCTGAATTCTGGTGGGAATTGGTCACTGAGCATGTACTGTGGCACCAAGAATTCTAGGATTACTGCCCAAGCACCTGGTCCTATCTCTTAATTTCAGTCCAATGATTGCTTCTGGCGTGGGCTTCAGCATCAAGGTTCTCTGGGTCGTGGCTGCTCCATCCCATGGATATCAGACCTCTTCAGTCAGCACTGAGCAAAAGAATGCTTTGGATCCACAGAGGACCAGCTGTCTCCTTCTGGGACTGGCTGATGATCTGAGATCACTAGGACAGAATGAGGAGATAGGACATTGGACCTTAGTGCTCTCTCCCCCTGGGAAAGAGTTCTCAGAATGGAGTGCCTCTGTCATCCCTTAGGGGAAATCCATCATCTCTGTCCACTTCAAACCTCCCAATCCCCCAAAGACTCTAGACCCTGGGGACCAAGTGACTGGATAAGGAGGGAGCGAAGAACTATGTGAACTCTTAGTCCTTTACAGCCTTACTCCTCTTCCTTACCCTGAAGGTGCTGGACAAAGACATTGATGCCATAGCTGTCCATGCTGTCAGGGTGCTTACTTCCATCATGAGCAACTCTCCATCTGCCAAGGTAAGGCCCTATTGGGCAGGATAAGGCATGAGAGACATCTGGGGATGCCTCCTGTAGCTGCTGGGTGAGGAGCAAGGGTGGGGTGGCTGCAGTGGGCTATGGCTGCATGGTGAAGAGGTGGAGCCCAGAGCAATAAGGAGGGATGAGAGTACAGGATAGGACAGAGATATGAGAAAAGTATTAGCACAATCAGGGAAGCAGAGCTTTGGGGCTTACAAGGGAGCAATTACTATCAATATCTGTAAAGAAATCACTGATCTTTTTCCTACTCTGAGGTTGTGCTAGTGTTTCACTAGCTTTATACTTTTATACTGTTACTATGAGGCTGACTATGTTGACAGGAGGAAGAGAAATAGATGGGACCTCTTGATGTCAGAAAAGCACAGCACAGGCGTTCTTTCTGGTGGTCCTATATGGCTTTCCTTATCTGTATGTTTTGTGTATACCCAGAGGGTCTTGTGTGCCAGGCTGTGTTGTAAGCCACCTGAAGTTTTGGGCACAGACTTCCACAGAAGGGTGTGGACAGTGTTAATTCTGTCAAAAGAATAGTTGTTTCTTTGAGCTCTTCTCTATTCGCTCAGATGTCTCTGTGTCAAGAGAACAAGTATCTAAAAGGGGTGTAAGCAGAGCTAAAGATCTAGGATCCAGCGATTAGTCCAGAAATGGGGTACATTCAGATAGCAAAGGTCAGAACATGTAATGGATAAGAAGACCAGGTAGTCAATCAAGGTTAAAAGAGTCAGACTGGTCTCAAAGGTCATTACAAACCATGAATCTTCTAAAGAATTAAAGCTGGCCAGAAGTGGAATGGCTTGCTCAAGATTTGGGTGTTTCCCCCTTTTTTGAGGTCCTCAAGTCTCAGAGGCTGGACAAGTACTTCTCAGGTTATGTTGTAGTGGGGTTTCTTTTATGTATGAGCTTAACTAGATGACCACTGAGGTTTCTTCCAACTCTCCTTTTTTTTTTTAATTTTAATTTTTAGTTTTCAACATTTACTTCCACAAGATTTTGAGTTCCAAATTTTCACCCCATCTTGTCCCTCCCCTCACCCCAAGATGCCATGCATTCTGAATACCCCTTCCCCTAGTCTGCTATGCCTGCTATCTCTCCTCGCCTTCCCCTTCTATTTTCCTATAGGGCAGGATAGATTTCTGTACCCCATTTCCTGTATT